TATATCTAAGGCCTTCCGACTTGGCACTGAGCCATGCTACCAGCTTCCCTGGTTCTCCAGCTTGCAAACGACCTGTCATGGGACTTCTCAGACTCCATAATTGAGTGAGATAATTCCCCTAAGAAATCCCTTGTGATATATCTTTCTATATATATATATCCTATTGGTCTGTCTCTCTGGAGAATCATGACTAAAATGCCTATTGATCACTTATCATATGCCAGGAAAAGTTCTAAGAAATTTATATATATTAATTCATTTAATCAGCATAACTCCAATTAGGTAGGTACTATTATTAACCCCATTCTATAGGTATGATCCTAAGGCACCTGCCCAATGTAGACCTGATAAGATACTTTAGTAACTCAGAATCAGGAAGAGAAGTAAGAATTGTTTCTCTGGGGAAGTTGTCATGAAAGAGACAAGGCTTGAGCTAGCTCTTGCAAGGTGTATGCTGATGACTACCAGGTTTTTTACACTAGATGTTACAATCTAATATTATCAAAGATCATCCAGGTGCTATAGTCCCAGCTACTTGGGAGGCTGAGGTGGGAGGATCATTAGTTCAAGTCCAGCCTGGGCAAAATAGCAAGACTCCCCCTCAATCTCCAAAAAAATTAAAATAAAATAAATAATATTATCCAAGATCTAGTACTAAACCAGAGTAGTGTAAATCAATTCCTCAGCTGTCTCGACATTTATTGAACACCTACTATGTTCTAAGCTCTGAAATCACACAGATGGACAAAAGATGGCTATCCATTAAATATATATACATATATATTTATATATGTGTATATGTATATATACATATATACACATATATATTGTGCATATAGAATAAATATATATATATATATACACACAATACTCACCATCTTGCTAGATGTCATTGCAGTACAGCCCCTACCCTTAAAAAGCTGATAATCTATTTGATCATGTATGTGCATGTGTGTGTGTATGTGCATGCATATAAACTAATTAAAAAGCAGCTGTGATTAAGTTATAATCTTGAGCTAAACTGGTTAATATTATATGAGTTCAGGAAAGCAGATTAGTGTGAATTATCCAGAGAGAGCTTCATGGAGGAGATGGCTTAGAGCCAAATACTGAAAAAGCAGCCACATTTATATAAGTAAAGGAGGGAGGAAGGATATACCAGCTGGTGAAAACAAGATGAGAAAGACTCAGGTGGGAATAAGTATAGTCAGTATTGCTAAGCATGAGTAATGTTAGAAGATGAAAATAAAGTCAAACATGGAAAGAGGGCAAGAGGGATACAAATTGAGCATGAAAATTAACTTGAATCCCAAATTGTTGTTAAATTGTTGTTGAGAATACAGGGTTGAGAACTTTCATCCCCAAATTCAAACTAAATCATTCTGCTTTATTTATGTAGGAGAAAAGGCAGAAATATAACGGGGAATGCAGAGAATGCCGAAAGCAATAGGAAAAAAGGTTTAAAATATCATTTGATATGCATGTAATTTCCTTGGAGCTCAGGAGTGTCAATAAAAATTAAAACAGAGAGGAACTTTATCTGATCCAAGATATTATTTTTTAAAGCCAAAAGCTTTGGTAAGCAATTCATAGTCATGCATCCCTGAGTTCAATAAACATCATTAAATCACACAGAAAATAGGAACTTTATACCAAAGAGCAGCATAAGCATTGATACTTCCATGGGCTGGTGAATTGGCCTGCTCTGCTCAAAGGACAGGGCACTGGGTGAAGTTCCGTGTGGCCAGGGAATATTCCCACTGCAATTTTTCAGCATATTAGCAAATGGTATTGGTGACAGGAGCTCACAGCCCAGGATCATGTCCTCACCCTCTTGCTGGGTGCAACATGCCTCTGCCCTCTTGGCTCCCTCTAATGTCCCCAACTGCCAGGTAAACACCTTCATCATCTCTGTTTCTAAATTTGGACATAGGTATCAAGTTTGGAATCCTGATGAGACTAATTAACTACTTCCCTGAAGTGTGAAGTAATCAGTCCTAGAATGGAAGAAAAGGAAAACAAGAAAGGAATCCCCAGAGGTGAACCTGACACGGTTCCTGTCCCTATGGAAGATTCATAAGATCACAGCTGAAAGAACATTCTACCATAAATTGAAGGACTCTCTGTTAACAGCAGGAAACAAAATCTCATCTCACAATGCTTTCCCCACTAATACAACACACCCACCTCAAGTCCTAAAACCGTTACATTGCCGTCTATCGACACCTAGTGTCCAGAGTCAGAAGAACCCAGGGGCAACATTTTTCTTCAGTCACCCACTAAGAGCTTCCTCTTAGATCCAGCTGTCCTCTACATCGGGCTTCCTAGAGGGTCTCTTCACTCCCGCTTCAGGACATCCCTGTGCAAGTACAATCAGGGATTTATTTTATTACAGTTGAACTCCCATGTTGTGGACTGTGAAACTGCAAACTGCTCCCGAGGGTGACTCCTTCTACTTAGTGTACAATAAACTCCCGCCTTTCCTTTCTCCCCACTCCCCTCCACCATCTATATATTTTAATACCATTATTTGCCGAACAAAACATAACTGGAAAGAGGTTATACCATAAATGCATCAGAATTGTTCATAACAGCAATATTTGAGTGGCTTCACAATTGTTTCATTTTGGAGATTCACCTTCTCCTCCTTCTAGTCCCACAACCGCACAACAGGATGGAGAAAGCAATGTTAATGAGCAATCAAAAATCGACAGACTATGACAAAAATCAAAAATAACCCCAAGGAGGAAGTACTTAAAAGTCCCTATTTTCTTCCAAGCAATCTTTAGAGATAAGCCCAAGCCATTTCTAGACAGGAAGTGTGAACATTTTTTAAGACGTAAGCTTTCAGATAGCAATCATTTCTCTCGAAGCATTTTTAGATTTATATTACTGTCTTTGAGATTTTTCCCATACCAGGCAAAATAGAACATATAAGCAATTAGACAAGGTTGATGTGTAGATGAATTGTGAGCGTGGACAGTGTTACGAGTTGGTTCTGGAATTCTATGTGCCAGTTCACCATGCAATAACTGGGGTATTTTCATACTAAAAAATTATTCATTGTTTACATGAAACTCAAATTTAACTGGATGTCATGTATGTTATCAGACAAGCCTAAGTGGGGTGGAACAAAAGCCCTAGCTGGGAAATATAACTAGGCTCCTTAGCAGAACCTGAGTCATTTTTATGGATAATGGTGTGATGATTGGATTCCAAAGATCAAATATCAAAGCAAAGGCCCAACATTGTAATCATTCAAATAATACTTTGCATTTATTTAATGCTTTGTAATTGATAAATCATTTCATATTTATCATATTATACAGATTCTCCTCATGACAAGCCTTATGTGGGCATTTTTATACCCATTTCAAGGCTCAGGGATGTTAAGAAATTGCCATCATGATCCATCCACACAGAGCTGTATGGAAAAGTCAGAATTTGAATCCAAGTTTCCCAGTATGGTGCAGTGTCTACAAATAATAAAAGGTTCATGTGGACACTACCCAAGACTTCTAATCCCTGAGCTTCAGTTGAAAATCAAATGTCTGGCAAACACAATATAAAGCTAACGTTGTGATGCAAGGCCAGGAAAATGAAAAGATGTTCTCAGAAAAAGTCACTGAGCTGTCTTACATACTTTCCCACTGTAAGGTCCAGTTTGCTTTTTAAACCACAAAACCATTCACTTTATCTCCCCAATACAGTGAGATATTATTCTTCTGACCTAGGCTTATTCACACATACACAAAATCTCTAAATCTCCAACCACCACTCTCTGCAAGCCATTTATATGCTCTGGAGATCTTTAATAAAATCACAGAATAATCCAAATCTGTTTAACTTAGAGCTCATTTTCCCTAGATCTTTACATTTCAAATTTAGAAAATGTTCCTATAATCATCCTTTTCATTATTAACTATCAGGGTTGTTTTTAAGTTGTAGAGTAGTGACAGCTGGTGTTCAGAGTGTATATTGCATCTCTCCATAGTTTTTATTTTGTACCTGCGGTCCTCAAATACTAGTGTTCACAATAATTCCCTGAGGAGCTTGTTAAAATGCAGATTTCTGAGTCCTCACTCTCATAGATTCTGATTCTATATGTTTGGGGTGATGTACATTTTGCAAGCCCCACTGCTACCACCCCTTCCTCCACCTCCTCATCATTCTCATTCAAGAGTCTATACCACGGCTTCTGAAACTTTATTGAGCACATGAGTCATTAGAGATCTTTTAAAAATACAGATTCTGGGATGGTAGCTTGGGGATGGGGCCAGATATCCTGCCTTTCTAACAAACTCCCAGATAGCTTTATACACTCATTTTAAATCTAAGCATTTGTATTTTCTTATGTACCTAGATCACCACAGACTGAATCCCCTGAGTTTACAAAATGATTTTGCTTAAATCTTCTCCTTACCCCTGTTCTAGACTTGATCCACCTCCTTGAAGTCCTAAATGATAGCCACAGTCACCTAAAGAAGTAGCTAGGTATAAAGGACAACATCCTTATGGGAGGCTACCAAAACTACACCTGCTCTTCTCTAAACCAAATCACTCCTGATACCAAAGAGACAGAAAGGCCCAGAGTATTACCTGCTATGAGTGCTGTGCGCGCATATGGGGACCAATGCTCCTTCCCTCATTGTCACTTCCCTACAAGAATGTGTTTCACAGAAGTTTAATGGTGACAATAATGATAGCATTGATGATGTTGATGAAGTTATTAGCTAACATTTACTGGACACTTGCTAAGTGCTATGCACTGTGCTAAATTCTTTACATGGATTATCTCATATAATACTCTAAGTATCCATGAGGTAGATAATATTATTGTCCTCATAATAAAATTTCTCACCATCATTTAATAACGAGGAGAGATACACAGAGAAGAGCAGATAGATAATAAGCAATATCTACGATCACAGTTAAAATCCAGTGATAGTCTGTATGAGTTACATTCAAACTAAAAACCAAAATATTAAATCAAGGGCTCTTCTTCCATTGTGTCCCAAAGTCATATAAAATTCACTCTCTATAACATTTCTCTATTTTTATTGCCGCCTCACAATAAAAGGCTAGAATATACAAGGAGTTTCCAGGACAGCCCTGGCTTTTCCAGAAATGACCAAAACACGTGCCTGTCTTAATATCTCAAATACTAAAGAACTATCACAGAATCCAGGCAGGCAACTGTAAATGATGTATTCTTAACAGCTGAGTTCTGTGACCAACAGTTGAGTTCTAAGAACAAAACTGTTCACATACTTTTCTTTTACTTAGACTCTTTTTTCTTATTACCTTCCCTTTTTATACATGCTATTTGCTGGCAACCAGGTAGTAGTTCTACACAAGCTTTTCTTAAAATAACACACAATATTGTCTCCCAATTTCTAATGTGCTTTAGATATGCTTAGTTGACCAGAGAATATTCCCTCTTGTCTCACTTGGTTTTATAATACAATTGTCTTTATAGAAAGAATGGGCTACAATCCAATAGTCTTTCCAGGTTGAGTGCTTAGTGATGACTATATATGCCTTAGTCTGCTTAAGTGTACTTCCTTTGTTGTTGAGAACCAGTGTTTTCTAGAATAAAAAGGAGGCCATATGTTTATCAGAAAGCATTAATGCTGGCAGCAGTGAGAGTGAGATGAGAAAGGAAACCCCAAGGATTACATATTAGCCTCTGAATAATCTCATAATCTGGTACTTTGATCAACATTTATAGCTCTATGAAAGGCTCTGCTTTACCTCTGAAGAGTAAGAACAACTCAGAAGGGAGTGAAGGCAGGAAAGCATGTGGACAAGGGAAATTGGAATAATTATTGACAGACAGCTACTCATCTCTCTCTCTTCTCCTCAGTTTTGTTGTCATGGAAGGAAAAGAGATTTTGGATCCAGACAAATCCAAATTTGAATCTCCTCTCCATCGCTGCGTATTGCCCTATGGCATCGGGCAGCTTTCTTAGCCTCTCTGAGTCTCACCCAGTCTCTTTGTTTATGAAATGTGGAAACGACCCCTTCCCTGGCGTAGTTGTTGGGAAGATAGATGTTAGCTAGGTATCGAGCCTGGAAATAGAAAAACAAAGAATGACTGTTATTAATGGTAGTAGCCACTACTTCTTCCTCTGTTCAACTTTCAACAATATTTATTGATTATCTCTCCGTGGCAGGAATATAGTAAAGTCCTAGGAACCCTGAGCAAACAGACGAAATCTCTGTTCTCAAGAGGTTTAAGCTTCATCCTTTGAATATCACAGTAATCAAAATTCCACCCCCCACTACTGCACTGAACTCCTCCAGCAAAAGCACATTGCCCTTCTCTCAAATATCAGGGGCTCTTTTCGGTCCTCAATAAGACCTTTGTGTCGCATCTATTAATATTGAGTAAATTATCTCCTTGATGTTTAGAATACGCCTCTCTCTCCTGAGTTCCTTCTACTCTCTGACTGAAACCTTTCAGCCTCTCGCTAGTTTTTCTTCCTCTGTTACCCCTTTAATTAATATTTCCTAGAGTTCTTTTTCTTTTATGCCCTTCACTACTGGCTCTTGATCTTTTCAGAGGTATGGGCTCCTTTAAAGACCTGAAAGCTCTGTACTCTCTCCCTAGGAGAAAAAGAAAATAGACCTACTTATAAATATACATACATTTTTAGGAGTTTCACAAACCTTCTCTTCCTGCAAAGTGCATCACTGTACTTCAGTGTAAGGGGTTTCTACAGTTTTAACTATTACCCACATGTTCATGATCTTCAAGTCTCTATCTCCCACATAAACCACTTTCCTGAGCAACAGGCCTGTTTTCGAATGACTTATTGGACTATTCCTCATGAATTCCCTTCAGGCATCTTAAATTGAAAATATCCCAATGCAAACTTATTATGTTTCTCCTTAAACCTGTTTTCCTTTTGAAACGCAGTATCCTATGAGAAAAAGAACACCATTTTTGAACCAAACAAACCTAGATTTAAATCCAGCCCTAGAAACTTCGTAATGTATTTAACCTCTTTGTGCTTTCATTTCTTCATTTATAACATGAGAACAATAATACCTCTATTTTCTGCATTTTTATTAGGATTAAAATAGATAATGGAAAAGTGCCTGCCATGTAGCATATATTTCAGGAATATTAATATTACTGGATTCTCAATCTTGGTAAAAGCAACTCCATTCACTAAGTATCCTGAGTCAAAAATTTAGGCATCATCTTCAACTTGTCCCCTTTTCCTCATCTGGAAACAATGGAGGCCATGCCACATTGATTGTTCAGCTCTCCCCTGCCCTTGGTTTAGGATCTTGTTTTCTTCCTTGTGGATACAACCTATCTGGTTAATCTAACTGCAGTCCTACACACTTCCAATCAATTCTCTTCACTGCAGCCAGGGGATCTTCCCAAGACACAAATCTGATAATTCCATGACTACTTAAGTATGCCCACTTGCTTCCAGGATTACATCTGCCTTGAGTATTACATAAAAGACTGACTATGATCTGGTCCCTATCGACCTCCAACTCAATCCCTTGAACTAGTTGTGGATCTCCCAAACTGCCCACAGTGTTTTCAATTCTATACCTCTATCTACTCTGCTTCCTTTGCCTCTACCATTCTTCCAGTCATGGGATGATATAGCTTGAAGGCTCTTGCAAGATTCCAGAGCCATGCTCTTGGACTTACCAGCCTTCAGAACCATGAGCCAAATAAATTTCTTTTCTTTATAAATTGTTTAGTCTGTGGGATTCTTTTATAGCAACATAAAATGGACTAGGACAATGACCCAAAAAGAAATATTATATTCAAGAATCCAACCAGGGCTGTGTGGTGTTAATCTGTACCTGTACACTACATATGGTAGCCTAACTTTCCAGAATAGCACCAGAGGTGGTAGAGGTCTTCAGAGTGGTAGCTCTTGTATACATTTAGCTTAGAAAGATAATCTAAAAATTTCTCCTCAAATTTAAATTTCTCTCGAATTCTAGAATTTTATTTCATGTCATTAATGTTTGCAATGTAAAGGCCCCAAATCACAAACTTCTTTGGAGCTTTGGAACTTTTCTGTACTCTCCATCCCTGAAGGACTTGACACTCACAGATATTGACTAGGGACCAGAAGTCACAACTGAGAAAGAGCTCCCATCTCTTCCTTGTTTGTCTTGCCTTATATCTAGTGTTTTCTCTGAAAAAAAATACATAGTTGTCTTTCAATTTCAAATCTTAGCTTGCATCTGATGGCTTTAGTCATTGGCCCATTTTTGGAGCAATAAATTTCCAGCATTAAAAAGCACCAATTAAAATAAAAGACAATTTGAGGTAAAAATTTTTGTCTTCTATCCCACTACTGACCAGCTGTCTCCCACTATGGACAGAAAAAGAAGAAATAAATGTGTAACATGAGGAGTCCATAGAAGGGACGATTTCCTGAGAGCAAGGGTTTTTGAGGCATCAGATGATGTTTCCTAGGAAAGTTATAGACTCTCCTTCTCTGGATATCTTAAACTAAGACATTCTAAGGTTCTCCTTTATCTTTAATTGAGTATCCACTGATTTGAACAGCTGCAGAAGTGTCAGGTAGCCTGTGATTTGTGAAGCCTATTAATTTGGACATTATTAAATGTGGTAATTGGGCAGAAGTGGAATGAAGTTTGCTCTATGTTACCAACACAGAAGAGCATTTGTTAAATTAACTGTATATATGATTGTGGTAAAAATGCTCAAATTATCCAGCAGAACTGTTTTCAAATATCTTATAAAAATAGAATTTCTAGCAATTGTGCTCCCAGGTATTTACTCAATTGATTTGAAAACATATCCACAGAAAAACCCAACCAAAAATCCTTACAGAAGCTTTATTCACAATTGTCAAACACTGAAAGAAACTAAATGTTCTTTACCAGGTGAAAGTATAAACAGTGGCATATCCATACATTAGTATACTATTGATGGATAAAAAAGACAGGAATGAGCTATCACGCCACCACACAAAAACATAGGTGAATCATAAATGCATATTGCTATGTGAAAGAAACCAGTCTGATAGTGTCGCATATTGTATGATTCCATTTCTATGACATTCTAGGAAAGTCAAAACTAGAGATGGTAAACAGATCAGTGTTTGTTAGGGGAATGGGGAGGTGAGAGGGTTTAATAGATGAAACACAGGGGATTTTTTTTTTTTTTTGGAGTGGTAAAACCATTTTGTATGACACTGTAATGGTGGATACAGAATACTATGTATGTATTTGTCAAAACCCATAGAACTTTACAGCACAAAGAGAAATTTAATGTATGGAGATTTTTAAAAATCTTAGGTGATCAAAGAATTGCAGGAAGTAAGGCAGACTGTGACAACAGCCAACTATATTATTAGTATATAAAATAACCTCATTGAGGCAGGGGTGTGCGGGTGGGTTGCTGGCCTGAGTAACTTTGGAAATGAGTGGAATATATAAGACTAAAAGCAAAAGAACTATACATAAGCTAGTTCTATGTTACTCTAGTTGGTAAATCTCTTTCCCTCAAGCAGACCTGATAACAATTCTGAAACCAGAACATATATACATCGAATATCGGTTAACAGTTCTGAATCCACTATACATGTATGCTGGAATAGAAGTTAAGTAAATGGATGTCAGATGGCGAGAGCTAACTGTCTCACACTAGAGTGGAAGCTTAAAACAAGCAAGTCGAGAAAGCTAGAATGATTCATGTGATGCTAGATTAGAGTTGGAGATATCGATCCTATTTAGCCACTGTACCGTGTTTCCCCGAAAATAAGACAGGGTCTTATATTTATTTTTCCTCAAGAAGACACCCTAGGGCTTATTTTCAGGGGATGTGTTTTTTTTTTAAGTACGGTACAACAATCTACATTTATTCAAATATAGTTAACTCGTCTTCTTCTGGAACATCATCATAACTCTCCAAACACCAAATTCCATCCTGAATTTCTTGCAACTCTATTTCCTTTAGAACCATATGGCCCCAGTCTCTCATGTCGAGCAACAGAGCTCTCATGGGGCAGATGAGAAGGGCTGCTGGTCTTTACCACTCCGCAAAATGCATGGGTTGTGCAGATACACTGCATAGCCATGCCCATCACTAGGTCTTATTTTCGGGGTAGGACTTACATTGCACAAATGCTTAGAAATCCTGCTAGGGCTTATTTTATGGGTAGGTCTTATTTTGGGGGAAGCACAGTAGATACATATATAAATATTTATAGATATGTGTACTTACTCAGGTTAGTATTCACACATACATTCCCTTGCTCTGTCAGCTGAGAGGGCCTAGAAGCAACAATACTGCCAGTGTCCGAGTCTTCATTTCTAATATCATTTCTCATTAAAAGGACCCATGGCTCCTTGGAGAAGTGGCTGGTCCTAGGACTGGGGAAGGGAATATACAAGATCAGCCTGGATATACTCAAGGGGAAAACAAACAAACAAACAATGAGGGTGTGTAAAAGAGACAAAGATGCCAACTAAAAGAAATCTCAATAGCCAAAGCTGGAACAACTTGAACAACAAAATAAATGTGTATTGGATTATAACCCAAAATGTAAAATAAATATCTATATGTCCATACTGACATAAATAAATGATTGAATAAATAGTGGAGAACAGATAAACCTCTCATGCAGAATAATTCTAAATAATTTATGAAGTATTCTGCCCTCATAGAGGTGGAGCATAACTTCCTATTCCTACAGTTTGAGCTACACATAGTGATATCTTAGGAAGAGTACAGTATGGAAAGGGAAAGAAAAAGTAACTTCACAGTGGAGAAACCTGACAAAAACTACCTTCCCAAAGTGATAAAGGTTAGCATCAACATTGATAAGTCATGTTGTATGTACTCTTGATATGACATGATGAGTGATCACTTTACCTCTTTACACACACACACACACACACACACAAATCCCATAACCCCAGTCGATACATGGGAAAAACACCAGGCAAACCCCAACTGAAGGAAACTCAACAAAATGCCTGAAGACTACGCCTGAAAACTATTCAGGTCATCAAAAGCAAGGAAAATCTGAGAAGCTGTCACAGTCTGGAAGAGCCCAAAGAGCCATGGCAACCAAACATGATGTGTTCTGAATGAGGTCCTACAACAGGTTGAAGGACAGAAAAGAACACTAGGTCAAAAACTAAAGAAATCTGAATAAGGTATGGGCTTTCGTTAATTTTTAAAAACACATTAGATAAGTAAAAATGATATACTATTTATAAATAAGTTGTCTGATATTTATTTATAGAGCCTATTGACAGTCTGTCACTGTGGTAGGGCCGGTGACACATAAAAAGATAAGTGTCCTATGAACCAAAGCAGCGATTCATGAAAAATAAACTATGATACAAACAAAAGACTGTATTTCTTGCAGGCAGTAAGAAAGGCTTAGGGCGGGAGGATTCTATCAAATGGATCCATGAGTCAATGCATGAAATGAATTGACTCGCACAAACCCAACTCGTGAGCCCGCCCCTCCATCTTTCCAGGTCTGACCCCACCTTTTATCATCTCACGTCATCTGTCAGGGTTATCCAATGGGAGGTCAGCTCCGCGTAGCCCTACTGTACGCATGCGCATCATCGGTTCGACGATCCTTCTCATCGATGCGCTCGGAAGCAACTTCTTCAGCCTAATCACCGCCAGCGTATACGGTACCGCTGCCATCGGCATCGCCATTTTGACTGCAGGCACAGTCAGGTTCTGGGACAGCTGACGGCAGTGGTGGTGACTGGTACGGATGGTTTCCGCCCGCGTGAGCCCCTCCAACTTCGCCCTCGGTATTGCCCCTGTTCCCACTGAGTCCCTGTCGCCGTCCCCAATCATCCTGTCACTCTGTCTTTGTGCTCTTTCCCGCTTCCTCACTCCTCAGCTCAGCCGGAAGCTTTGCTTGGAGCTGTTGTCTGACAGCCCCGACTCGGAGTTTAAGTACTGCTTCGACCCTCAGGACTCTGAACCCTGGCCGCCCGCCCCCCGTCCCCCGCCGGGGTCCGGTCCGAATTGTTTTTCAGCGAGCATAAGCCGGGAGGGCTCCGAGCCGCGCGGCCTCGTGGGGGCAGGGATGGGGTCTGTGGGCCGGACGCGGTGGGGGCGAGTTGTGTCCTCCCGCGGTTACGGGGAGCGCTTGGACTTTGGTCCTCTCGTGGGGGAGGGACACGCAGAACAAGAGTGGACCTTGCTGGGGCTGTCGTTTGTTAATAGTTGTCACTAGCCTGTTTTGTTTTGTCCTTTCCCAGGATTACCTCTACGAAAGGAAAGCTGTTTTGCGACAGTCCTCTCCGCTAGAAATGGCCAATGTGAGTCTCCTAAGAATCAGTATAGTAAACAAGTTTTGCAACTTGGGAGGACGGGTGTGACGGGTTTAATGGTGGCATTACGTTAGACTTTATCAGAAATCAGGAGGAAGCAAGAGGGGTGAAATTGTGTTATGCTTTGAAGATAGTTTGAACACAAATAATCTTTTCAGTATACGTCGACTTCTCCAAATTCATTTTTATTACAGATAACAGAAATTCAGTGTGAGCATCCTTTTAGTATTTGTGAAAGACATTATTTCAGTAAATATTAGAATCTACATTTAAGTCCTTTTTAAAAATCTCTTTGTTTAGCAAAACCGGAAGGTCTTGTAGTAGTTTCGGCATAGGAAATGACCTTAGAAATCCTACAGGATGAGAGCAAGAGTTATTTACATACATCAGGGATACTTACAGTAACTGCCCAGGGATTAATAAGACACATCCTACCATAAAGAATTCATATACTAGTGGACTTAAGACATATATATGAAAACAACTACAATAAAAGTAGAAATCATTTTTAAGAAGCTACACAAAGGTACAGTGCAGATTCAGAGCTTTGTGAAGAGGGGTTTGGGGCCATTTAATGAGAGAAACATTTAACTTAAATTTTGAAAATGTGTGGTTTTTATACTCTAAAATTTGGGTGGGTCGGAGGTATATTCAAAGAACTCTCCACCCCACCATACCCTGCTCAAAAATTAAGAAGTCATTTCTGCCTGCTTGCCTGCCTGCCTGCCTGCATGTGAGGTGTGTGAAAGAGATTAGCAGAAGGTAAGGTTAGATTGTGATGTTGGGACCAAGTAATAGAGAGCCTTGAATGCCAAACTCAGTAATTTACACTTTATTCTTTAAATTCTGATGATTTACTCAGACCTATGTTTTAGAAAGGTTAATATGGCAACATTTAGCCAAGGTTGGTACTCCTGTAATTAAACATGATATATTAAGAGTCTTAAAGGTGTGACTATAGAGACAAGTATTAAGAGTAGACTACCAGACTTGCCCAAGTTTTAAGGTAAATTTTTACCTAGCTATTACCTACACAGAAAGGGAATGTTGTAAAAGAAGTATGTAATACTCTCAAAGGAGAGATTAATTGAAATAGAATAGAATGCTAATATTTGACATGGCTTTATTTTAGTTTAAATGAATAAATTATAATGTTCAGTAGGGTGAAGGGTTTTGGAAGATACATTTTTAAATCCTTTTTTAGAAAGCAGTTCATATTAAAATGTTACTTTTAGCATTCAAATATACTTTAAAATTGTTTGCGTTAATTTATATGCATTGTAAATTCTGAATTGATGTTAGTAATGAAATATGCAGATAGGTATGTATGTCAGAGCAAGATTCATAAATGTTATGCTTCCGAGTCTAGACAGGGAAATTAAGAGGCCTTAGTGGAGACTATGTCAAACTAAAATAATGCATTTCTGATACAAAAGGAGCAGCCTTCTCTTAGTTAGCTACAGGTTTTTGTTGTCATTTGGGCATGTGAATCCACTGTTGCCAGACGTGAGTTTTCAAGAAAAGCCAAAAATCTGAAACATTTGTGTAAACCTTCTGATTTCTCAATGTTGATATCCAGTTCAAATTTCTTAAAACACTGTGGGCCACACAAAAATGTTTGTGGATGGTTGTGGATGCACTTCATACACTACCAACTTTCAGTCTTTGGTACAGACCATATTTTCTCCTTACATGACCAAAAGCAGGACTTAGTTCTAAGTCAGTTCATGGAAGGTTCTTTCTCTTTTATACTAATAAGGATTTTACAATTAACTTGTAACACTCTGTCCTCTTCCCAAGTCAGAATCCTCCGTTTGAAGTTAATCATATATGAAATATGTGTTTATCTTTAAGCTGCCTATTATAATTTCAAGCTGTTTATTGGTTATCACTTTTAATTATTCACCAACTAGTCCAGTGTTATAAAATCTGTCAAATTTACAAAATTTTTCACTTCCACAGTATAGGATTTGAGGTTATATAACCTATAACCCTTATAGGTTAAAGGTAAGATTTGAAACAAATATTAACTGTCCCTTTCAGTGGGCAAATTAGTCGTTTGTTTTCTCATTAAAATGAAATTCTTTAATTGGATTTTCTTAGGCTAGGAATAAAACTCACATTTTATTACATAACTTTTATTAAAAGTTTTACTGTCAGGAAAAAAATATCAGTACAATCTAGTGGCCTTGGTACTCAGGCTAAATAATCATTAATAGTATTAGACAATTTTAAAATAATTTGGATAATCATCCTGCTTTTGCTTGTGAAGCAGTATGAATGTTCACAAATCATGTTTTAATCATACTAGAACTAGTGTTAAAAATAGTATATATTATTATGGATATTAAGTAAAAAAATGTGTGGAAAACAGCACAGGCCTGGCTCTGTAGTGGCCAAAATAGATTTATTATTTACTTGCTTTTAAATGAATATTGCCTCCTCAAATAATCTCTTATTGTGCCTCTTACTAATTTGAGCCTTTACTCAAAATATTTTTGGAATTAAAAATTTTTAATTACCTTTAAATCCTGAGGCATATCTTTTAATTATCCTTAATTGTAAAGGTAAATTTATGTTACAGAAACACTCAAAAGCCTGAGTTAGTTTAATAAGTAAAAAGCCAAATAATTACCATTTTTGTCTCTTTGGGCAGGTTGAGTACAGACCCCAAGAGAAGATGCTTAAATTCTAGGTGGACAGAATGCTCTGGAGACAGGCCTTGTGCTGGCGATACGTGTCACAAAGGAGGTTATATGTATCCAGGTTTTAAAGAAAGAGTAGGAATTTGCCAGAATATCCTAGAAGGCGAAGGAAAAGGGTGTTTTTAGCAGAAGAAATCTTGTGGCAGTATAAAAGAATGCAGAGAAATATGAGAAATATTGTGGAGATATTTTTATGTGATTAAAGAGTAAAGTAAGAGAAGCAAGGGTGAAATTTGCAGGAAATTATGTCAGAGAGATTAGGAAGACCAGTTAGAATATACTCATATACTTACTGTGAGAAATAAAATTGGAAAGAACAGATGGGTTGGATTTCAGAATATGTGAAAGAGAAATATTAGAATGATTCTGAAGTATCAAGTGGCTGGACCTTTCCAACATGCTGGTAATTAGTTTTCAAGCCATCTCTCTACCTCTACTCCAGTCCATTCTCTATACTGCTCCTAGTGCTACATTCCTTAAAATGTCCCTTATTTTTGTCAGTTTTTTAGTCTTGACTCCTGCCTACAGGTTAAAATTCTGACTTATTATCTTGGAATAACAGGTCCTTTAATGTCTATGTCAAATATAAAGCCCTTTATAGTTACTCACAAGTTAACTTTCAAGCTTATATTTTACTACACTCCTTTATATCCATCCTCACTGAACTTGTCACTCTTTGGAATATACTTTTTTATGTCTCTGTACTTTTGTTCCTGAAAGCCACTAATTGAAATGGCCTTTCTTCAGCAAATGTCTCCTATTTCTTCAAAACCTAATATATCTTCCATGAAACTTGTCACCTCTCCCAAGGATCTTATATCATTTAAAATCTAATTTTAATAGCATTTCACAGATAATAATGGTATCTGTTTTCACATCTTTTCCAATAAGCCAAGAGTTGCTGATTTTTTTTTTTAATGTAAAGGTCCAGACAGTAAATATTTTAGGTTTTGTGGGCCATAGAATCTCTGTTGCAATTGCTTAACTCTGCCATTATGGTGGGAAAGCAGCCATAGCAATACATAAATGAATGGGTATGGCTATGCTATAATAAAACTTTATTTACCAAAACAGTGGGCTGTATTGAGGAATAGTTTGCTAACCCATCCATTAAATTATTATGACCAAGTATTTTGCTGAAAGTTTATGAATGAAAGATATTTACACATTCATCAATTGTAATTGACCTCACAGTCTAGGAAACAATGTGCAGAAAATAAAAATGTACCACAAAGGATTATGCTAAAATGGAGGAAAGTGGGACCATGCCATAAAACTAAGAGGAGGGAATAGCATGGGAGATAATTAACACAATTTATAGCAAGCAGTAAAAGAAAGAAGAAGACTTAGATAGTAGAAAGATTTTGGTCCAAAGAGAAGCTTTGAAAGTTCTTTATTTGAGGATCAAAAAATCTTGTTAGTTGTGCTACTTTTTTAGTATTGTGGCTAAATAGGACAACTTTCAAAGGTTTCCGTTTTCTTATGTCTGGCACTCTTGAATTCTGGCCTTTTTTGGAAAAGACATACACTTTTATCCAAAGTAAATTATTACTCATTTTTTAAATATCTATTTTTATTTTTTAAATTATAAATATGTATAGTGCTTGTCAGATAGTAGGTGTTCAGTAAAAGTGGAATAAATGTTAGTTTTAAGAGGACATTACAGTGTTTTTGCCAGAGATTATATAACATTTATATCCAGAATAAATAATTTTAATTTTTATGTCAATTTTTAGGTGCTTTGTAACAGAGCCAGACTGGTTTCCTATCTCCCAGGGTTTTGCTCTTTAGTTAAAAGGGTTGTCAATCCCAAAGCCTTTTCAACTGCAGGATCATCAGGTTCCGATGAGTCTCATGTGGCCACTGCACCTCCAGATATATGTAAGTGAAAATTGTTATTGTTCTACTTACAATTGTTTCAAAACATTTTGAGTTATATTTCCTCTAATATTTCCTCTTGAGGTTTTACACATTTTCTAAAGTTATATTTATTCCATTGAAAATAAATCTGTGCCTAAATATTTGTATCAGAAAGCTACAGCATAAAAAAGAATAAGTACTGTTTTCTAAAGCTTATTTTCTTAAACATCACTTCCTTTCAATCTTGAAACACATACATGCCTGAAATGAATCTCTTTGTGACCCTCTTAACCCAGGTTATTACTTCTTGCCATTCTTTGCTGAATTTCATAAATGTAGCTGGTAGTTTTTATGTGTTTATTAAATCAATAATTTACCTACTACTTACTAAGTCTACTTCTAATCCACTTTGTACACTGCTCTCATGATAATCATTCTAAAATATTTTAATTATGTCACTTTTTGTTTTTTTGTGTGTGTTTTGGTGGGTCTTTTGTTTGTTTGTTTGTTTTTTAGAGGGAGACAGGGTCTCTCACTCTGTCACCTAGGCTGGAGTGCAGTGGCCTGATCATGGCTTATTGCAGCCTTGGACTTTTGGGCCCAAGTGATCCTCCTGCCTCAGCTTCCCAAGTAGCTGGGACTCCAAGCATGCACCACCATGCCCAACTAATATTTCTTATTTGTTTTTAGAGACAGGGTCTTGCTTTGTCCAGGCTGGTCTCCAAACTCCTGGTCTGGAGCTATCCCCCAACTTGGCCACCTAAAATGCTGGGATTATAGGTGTGAGCCACCACACCCAGCCTCATGTCACTTTCTTGATAAACCTTGGTTATTACTCATAACTTTCAGCACCAGTTCCCATGCTATCCTCAAGCTATGAATCATTATTTAAGATTATTAAAAAAAAAGGGGGAAGATTATTATAGTTAGGTCACTTTAAGAAATCCTACATGCCATATTCCTATATTGGAGGTTTCTAATGCACACTAAAATATTAAAAACTCTTAGAAACTTAATGTGCCTTAAAGATACAGCTCATGAAATCCTTTTTTCATGGAACACATTACTTACAATGTAATTTAAGTTCATTTGGGCATTCAGAGCTTTCCATCTTGCCCCAGTTTTCTTTTATAACTCTGTTTGACTACTCCCCAATTTACATCACCTGAAGACTAACTGCATATGTATCATAAATGAAAGATTTGCCATTCAGATTATGTTAGGGGATAGGATCTTGAGTGCATAAAGAATTTTTGTAGATCATTAGGAAAAAACAACCCAGTGGAAAATCAAAAAACAAAAGTATATGGATAGGCCTTTCACAGAAGAGAAAAACCTAAATGACCAGTAAACGTATGAAAGTATTCTCAAATCCACTGTGGATATGGGACGCATGTTTTCTCTAAAGAGAACTAGAGACTGTTAGACCTGAATAGTCTTTAAAAAGTGTCTTGTTCAAAAATAGCCAACAGTTATTAGTCGCTATCTAGACAGAGTGTTAGTACTCAACATGATCTGCGTCAGTATCATTTTGGAGCTTGTTAGAAACACTGAATCTTGAGCCCAATTCCAGACCTATTAAATGAGAATCTGCTTTTTAACAAGATCCCAGATGAATCTGAAGAACCTTAGAGTTTCAGAAACATTGGACTAGAGTGTTTGTGTTGAGAAACTTGAGACAGTGTCTTGAGTTTAGCAGGAAAGGGTTTCATGATTGATGAGTGATGTATGTCATAAGTATGGGTTAGAGTTAGGGTATGATGGCTCTGATGATCTAGTAATAAAGCAGCCATATTGACATGACCATTTTCAGTCACTCAGTTCCAGCAGGATATTTAGAATATAAATATATATATATACACACACACACACACACACACATATATACACACGCACACATATTTATTTTATTTTATTTATTATTTATTTTTGCTATGTAATATGCACAGCAATTGTCCCTTTCTGTAAACCTAAACTTCTACTCTTGAGTAATTATTAGTTTAATTTTCTATTTTGTTCTTTTCTGGATCTTTTTAAAATTTTTTAAGTTAGGATGTTTTTTAGTTTTAAGTGAATAAAGTAATGTGATCTGTTCTGCTGTATTTGTTATCTGTATTAACTCATGTGGCTGGTAAATAGAGCATTATGTCACATAATGCACATTTTTATCCCAGCCTGTTAATGTTTTATGCCACCAAGTAACAACAGCTGAATGCCTCTCCCCAAGGATAACAACTATTAAGTTTAGTGTCTTTCCTTTTAATGTAAAAACATGACTATTAGGGTATAAAATAAATGTTATCATACATGCTATACTTTGATTTAGGTTTTTCTTTTAATGCGGTATATCCTGGACTTCATTCCATGTCAGTACATTAAAGGTTTATTATCTTCTGTTTAATGACTACCAAGCATTCCATAGTATGGGTTAGAGTACTTTATTAAATCTTTCCCCTAATAATGGACTTGCCTGTCATCTGACAACTGGTTGCTTTGATTGGTGTTTTAGAAGCATTATGAAACTAACTAACTTATATTCACACAGGAAAGCAGATTTCAAAGATCCATCTTTTAGATTAAAAAATATATATATACAATTGCAAGAAGAACATTCTTTCAGTCTGCCAATGAAGTTGATTGTTAAGACTAAAATGATTTATTTGGTTGTTCCTCTTCAGGCTCTCGAACAGTGTGGCCTGATGAAACGATGGGACCATTTGGACCTCAGGATCAGAGATTCCAGCTTCCAGGAAACATGGGTTTTGATTGTCACCTCAATGGGACTGCTTCACAGAAGAAAAGCCTGATTCATAAAACTTTGCCTGATGTTCTAGCAGAACCTTTATCAAGTGAAAGACATGAGTTTGTTATGGCACAATATGTGAATGAATTTCAGGTAAATTGTTAATCTCATTTATTATGCTTTTCTAATTATTAATGTTATATTACTTTCTGATTACTGTGAACATATTACTTTAACTGAAAAAGAAAAAATATCAACTAAATTCTAATACATGTTTATACAAAACAGCATATATAGCCTTTAAAAACTTGGCATTGTCCTATACACAGTGTTTGCTATATAATTTTTTACTTAGATTGTAATCTCTTAGGTAATTAAAAATTGTTCCCTTAGGTTACATGGGTCATTTAAAAAAAAAAATTGTTCTTAAAAATGTTTTTAATAACTATTCCAATATAGATAAGTTAATTATTTCTATATTACTGGAAGTAATTAGCTTGCCTTTTTTCACTTTTATAAATGGCAATTATAATTTGTATCCAGATCTAATTCCAACCATCTTTATACTTCTCCAGCCATTTAAAAACTTAAGAAAATTTTGAGTTTCTGAAATTGTTCAGATATAGTAAACAAAAAGGAACTATTTAAAAAGTAGTTTTTTAAAAAAAGGCAATTTCTAAGGGTTTTTGGGTTTTTTTCTCTTTTTTTCCATTTTTATTTGACCCTTTTAAACTGGCATTTTATCATTGCTCATGTAAGTGGAAAGCTACATGCAATTCAGGGTTTCTGTTGAACCTTTGATGTTTATCATTTTTCACATTTCTGCATAATTAATTAGTGTGAGTTTTTGATCAAAGCTATATTATTAGAAGCAGCCATCTCTCATGATTATGAGCTATATTAGATGATCTGACATTGGGACATAGTTGACCTCCTTGATCTTTTCATCTCAGGTAATTCCTTCTAGTCTTCTTGGTTCCTTGTTCCTCCTCAGCCTACCAGTTAAATTATTATATTTCCCATAGATTTCTGTCCTTCAGCTTCTCATTTGAGTTACTCCTTGGTCAGTTAGTCTCTTGGCTTCCTCCACAAGGCCATGTTTTTAGAATTCTTAACTTAACATTTCTATTTCTAACATTTCTGGCTCTATATTCCTATTTGCCTACTGAGCCATTTTTATGGCTTTATCTTGTAAGTCCCCAGATTTTGTGTGTCTAGTAGTGAAGTCCTTTTTTCTCTGAAAACCCGTCCTCCCATATTGTAGCCAATGGTATAAAGGCATAATCATCCTCCCTTTTTCCCAAGATAAAAATTACAGTGCCAACCTTGAGTCCTGTCTCCATCATAGTTCCATAAATAATGTCAAAATCACATTGCTTCCATCTCTGACGTTGCTCCTAATTAGTGTCCTTTCAGTTCTCTGTCAGAGTCCAAAGCCTCTTGTTCTTACCTGGATTCTTAGAAGCATTATAGCATGAGGGACCATGGAGATAGAATATATCTGGGTTCAAAGGTTGACTGTACAACTTACTTTATTTTGTGACCTTGAAAAAGTTACTTAACATTTCTAAGCCGCTGTTTCTTTATATGTTAAATGAGAATAACAGTAATCCCTAGTCCACAAGATTGCCATGAGGATTAAATGTGAAAAATGTGTGTAAAGTATTTAAACTCACAAAGTGATCAATAAATATTACCTGTTCAGTGGTGTATCACCTGCTCCTTCTCATTGCCATACATCATCCACCGTAACACTAACATTAGCTTTATATATTTGATCTTGCTATTTCTCGTTGCCTGTAGACTAAAATCAGAATTCTTTAATGTGTGATACCATAAATGGCATTTGACAGTTTTGATCCCTTATCCTTTTCACCTTATCTGCCTCTACCTTCTCCCTCTGCATTCAACTGCAACATACTTTCCATTTTTCTTAAATACAACATTCTGTGCCTTTGCATTATTGTTATCTCTGGCTAGACTGTTTTTCCTCTTGATTTCCTAGCTGCATAGCACCTATGCTTTACCTGTCAGACACATATTAATTAACATGTAGCTCAAATATGACCATTTCAGTCTTTTCCTGATTCCTCCCAGCAAAGCAAGTTTCTTCCTCATCTGTGCCCCCAGAAGACTTCACTCATAACTCTGTAGCACTTTTCGTGTTGAATTGCATTTCTTTCTTTATGCTTATTTTTGTTCCACTAGGGCTGATAAACCTGAGAATGAAGACTGGACTTTATACCATTACAGTGCCTGGATATATAGTAGACTCTTAGTAAATTTCAGTTGAATAAAAGCCTCAACCCCTTCCTGTAGGACAGGCTGTACTATTAATATTTAATTGTATTATTTTATTAGTGTTATTCTCATTTTATAGGTTATAGAAGAAAATTCAGTATCACAAAATAGAAGTGGTAACATTGTAAGACACATTATATAACATGTTAGTTTCTTATCCAATTTTTGTTTATATCAAGTCTTAGAATATTTATATTCATGTTCTGTTTTATTCAAAATATTTTGTAGAAGTTTCAAATCTTATATTCATCATAGAAAAAAATTTCAGTATGTAGGAAAATACTATTACCTTACTCGCCAGTAAGATTATAACTACTTGTAAAAAACTTTCAAAGGAAAACAAGTTCATAACAGGCAAGATACCATTTTATTTGAACTCTAGATTTTGTTTACTTTGTTGCTTATTCCCCTTAGGGTAGTGATGCACCTGTTGAACAAGAAATTAACAGTGCCGAAACTTACTTTGAAAGTGCCAGAGTAGAGTGTGCAATCCAAACATGTCCAGAATTGCTGCGAAGAGGTATGTCATACTTTATACTTTGAAACACTAATATATAGATATTTAGATAATGATACTAATTTTTATTAATTTGAATAATGTACTCTATAGGAATTGTAATGCTTAGTACCTTAATATTTTAATGTTTCAAACAGCTGGAAATGATCATATGGTCAAAATAAAGGCTTTCAAATATCCCCTGACATCTGACCTCATACAGCCATGCTTCCTATCTAGGAAGAATAAAATTTTTAATAACTTTTTCACTAAAGCTTAATTTAAGTCATTTCTATTCTTGGTGATTATTAGTAGCTATAATTTCATGAGTCAATATATAATACTGAGAAAAATGTTAATCATTTTTTTAATTACATTTAACACCATTAATGTGTAACTTTACTTACCCTTCAGAATTGTTGTCAGTAATATTTCTGTTCATCCAACAAAAGTAGAAGTAAACAAAACTAAGTTCATTTTACCCTTTTCAAAACTAATATGCATTTATAAAAATAGAGCACAATAACATAATTGTCATTTTTCTAAAGAAGTATTCTTATGCACTGTCTCTTTCTTTAAAAAGCAAATTCTTTCTTCCTGGAATTTTTGTTCTTATTTGTAGATTTCGAATCACTATTTCCAGAAGTAGCTAATAGCAAACTAATGATTCTGACTGTAACACAGAAAACTAAGAATGATATGACTGTTTGGAGCGAAGAGGTAGAAATTGAAAGAGAAATGCTCTTAGAAAAGGTAATTTTTCGAACTGCTAACAGTTTAATTTTGTGGTATTATTTAAATACCAGTGAGCCAATATTTTAGCATGATAAGTCTTTTCCAGCCTTTATTCATTCTCTGCTAAAATATTTCAGTACTGAAGGACTTACCTCTTTTATAAGAACAAAATGCCCTTTCTTTAGTATCTTTACAAAATGTAGACTCCAGTATCTTCCTCAATTTAAAAAAATACATACACACATATATCTGTTTTAGAAAATTTGTAAAATAAGGTAAAAAACAACAAAAAAGTAAAATTAACTCTTCATGCCCCTGTCTTTCCCTCTTTACCTCTCCCAACCTCTCTCCCTGCTCATACCTATATCCCTACCTCCCTTTTCTCTCTCTTTCCCTTCCCTCTCCCTCCATCTCCTCTGTCCTCCTCTTAAAGCATGTCAAGTAAAAAGTAACAATTACCCCAACCCTCTCCAAGAAATAAACAGTAACATTGTACAGTACAATAACAGCATAATGCTGTATACCCATGTTTTTTCTTTCTTTTGCTTTTAACCTACAAGTATGTTTTCACACTTTTCCATACCATTACACAGATATATGGCTTACATGGGTAAGCCATAAATTTTTAAAGCTATTTAAATATTGTCTTAGTGATTTATAAGTTGAAAATCCAAGTTTTGCTATTATAGGCAACACCGTAGTGACGATCTTTGTTCATATATTTTTATGCACACTAGTATCTATAGATTCCTAAATTGAGAATTGCTGAATCAACATTTTAAATTTTGATGGACATTTTCAATTTGCTGACCCAAAAAGATTTGTCCTATATTCTGTCACTCCAGTTTACCATGGATTAGCATTTCTTTTCAACTGAAGTTAGTTAAATGTGCCCAACTTGCATACCTTAGCCAACTTGAGTAGAAAAAAATCCCCTTTACTGATATCTATGCAAGATAATATTAGCAATTATTTTATATTTTCTTTACAGTTGGATATATGGTTTTTCTGAATTTATAAAAATATATTGTAACTGAGTACTACATATTAAGTAGTATTTTATCATAACTTCATATTTAAATGTCACACATGGCTTTGCTAATAGATTTCATGTAGTATTTCATAATCATGAGCATACTAGTTATATTCTAATTAACAAGGAAGTTTCAGAGAACATAAAACACTCTAATTTTCACTCCTTAAGTCCAGACTTCATCTTGATTTTTAATTTTATAATGGCTGAAACTATTTCATTTTCTATGAACAAAGATTTTTTTTTAAATTTAACATTTGTTAATGATTATTCTTCAAGTAGATATTTTGTTTTATAATTTAAGTCTATTCTAATTTTTTCCAGCAGATGTCAGTGTTTGCTGCTGATGCACCAAAATCTTAAGAAACATATTTAAGCTGATTCTTTTTGTGATAGTTTGGGATTCTTTCAGTTAATATTGTATATTAAATTATTAAAATTAAATATATTTTAATGACTATTTTCTAAACCTTACTCAGTTTTCCTATTATAAGAATTAGTAAAATATGACAATAAATATAAATATGTAGGTTATTCTAAAGAATACAATATTAATGCTTGTTGTTAGTTTACTAGAGGTATTAGGAGAAAATAAGTTACCTTAAGTGGTATATCTGTATAGCAGAGATCAGCAGACTTTTTCTTTAAAAGGGATCAAAAGACAAAATAACAAATTTAAAGATCTAATTGGTTTTTATTTGTAATTCTAGAAGTGGGCAATACCTCATTCTGTAAAGTTGAATGAGCATTAAGAAAAGCTGAGCAGAGGAGGTTGGCATAGACAGAAAAGGACTGAAGAAAACAGGAACAGGGAACAAGAAGGGGATTGTCCTTTTCAAAATTACTTTCTCTATAGTGTTAAAACAGAGCAAGCTTTCTTATCCTGCCTCAGGTAAACTAGGCCTATTCTGATTGGTTGCTGTAAACCTCCTGGGTTTCTTTAAACTGGCCTTTTTCAGGGTTCAGTGTGATTACGTGGTGCCTAGCTTGAGTGACATCATTTTGGTTTGGTCTTCTCTGCTGGGGCCTGCTGCATGAGCCTAGTCCAAAACAGTGGCCTCCCATACACTTTTTTTTAACATGGGCCAAATAGTAAATGTTTTAGGTCTACAAAGCCATAGAATCTTAACTACCCAACTCTACCCTTGTATTGTTAAAGCAACCATAAGCAATATGTAATTAAATAAGCATAGCTGGATTTAGCCTGTGGGCTGTAGCTTGCTAACCTCTGAATTAGGATATAGCCTTGATTCCTAAGGCTTAGACTTCTGAGGATCTCAGCTGAATGCCAGAGGGTACTCAGTGAGGTCTCTTCATTCTGAGTTGGTTAGAAATCCTCATGTCCCAGCACTGCATGACACCTGGTATTGCTGACTCATAGCTGGCACTCTGCTAGGCATGGAATCTTGCCTGATGAGTACACAGCTCAGCCCTTGGCTAAGGAACCAGGGTGAATTCCTCTGCAGACTACTCAAGAGTCCTCTTTGTGCATCTCCTTCTTTTCCAGTACCCTGCCGTACAAATTACAGGAACTTCAGCAGTCTAGATAGAACTCTTGCTTTTCACCTCTTCAGCTCAGTGACACCATTACCTTGCTTGAGCTCTACTTCTTTGCCCTGTGACAAAGTGTCCCCAGACAGAAAACTGAAGCAAATATGGGAATTACTTCATTTGTTTCCCTTCTTTCAAAGATTGTTTTTCAGGGTCTAAAAATAGTTGCCTCCTATTAATATATTTTGATATATAAGGCAACTATTTTTATAGTTTTAAAGTTGATAAAGCTTATAGTTTTATCCTTTTCAGGATGATGATGAGCTCAGTACATATTACTCTGTTACTGCTATAAGTAGAACTGTGCCCTTGTTTTTAAATGTTCTTTTTTTTTCAACATTATAATCTGGTGTTAATATTTGTTACCATCTTTTCTCTAGACTTCTGATAAAGCTAATAAAAGACATCATAGAAATCAGGATAGTAAGACCAAAAATTTGACACATGAACATGTTATATAGTAATTATACACTATATAAAAGATACGAGAATGTAATGAAAAATAAGTACCCTATTTAACCCCATACTCCATCTATCCAGTTCTATTATTGCTATGTTCCTTTTCAGAAATATTTCATGGCTTTGTGAGTGAATATAAGTGTTTTGAAGGACACATGACGTATATGTTTTTAAACAACTTTTATTCGAACTAATGAATGGTTCACATCTTTTCATTATGAATATTTTATTTTCCCTCTGTTACCTATTTATGTTATTATAATGATACAAAATAATAACTAGTTGATAATTTGTGACAAATTCAGGAGTTAATGGGGTAGAACTGATTAGGAATAATTCATAAAGAAATAATTCAGAATAAAAATATGGAAAGAAAGAAACTTTTTGAAAGTTTTATTTTAACCATCCAATTTGTAGTGTTGCTATCTTGAGCATATTCTTTGTGCCTTTTTCATTGCAGTTCATCAGTGGTGCTAAGGAAATTTGCTATGCTCTTCGAGCTGAAGGATATTGGGCAGACTTTATTGACCCATCATCTGGTTTGGCAGTGAGTAATTACATTTTGAAAACCAAATTATGAAGTATGGATGATTTTTATTGTAAAATTTTTTATAACTTTGGTAAAAATAGATTAAGGGTTTTTTAAAAGCTAACAATTTTACCTAAAGAAGTACTACTATGGGTACATTGTATTCACAACTTTTGAGGGACCTTTATCATTCACAGTTAAGTATCTCTATTCACTTTCTTTTATTAAAATAACAAAAATAATTTTTAATTTCTACTCTACTAGTAGATATTAGCATTTGATTTGCTTTGAATTAGTATGTTTACCTTTTATAAGTTGAAAATTAGATATCAGTATGGTCTAGTTAAGGAAGAAATTATTCTTAGAATTAATTGAAGAAAATGTAAATGGTAAAATAAATATTTAGAAAAGTAACTTTTTGGAAATTAACATTTATAATGTTATATTTTGAAGAAAATAACTGAATCACCATTGTGGTCACTTTTAAATTCTGGATATATCAATTACAGATAGTAATAAAATCATTTTTTGAATCTTAGAAATGTATTTCTTCTCAAAGTCAAATAAGATACAGTAGAGACTAGAAATGGGAAACTTACTCTGGGCTTTAGTTTTCTTATCTTGAAAGTGATGAAGGTGAACTGTAGATGATTATCAAAGGTGTATTCCTTTAAAGATTGTGTAATGCAATGCATTCAATTCTAGGTAATGTGAAATTTGCTAGATCATTTCACATTTTCAAACTGCACAAGTATTGAGGGGAGGCAGCATTAGGGTAGTTTAGGTGTTGCATGTGACTTTTTCTTAAATATCTGGAGTATTAAAATAGATATGTGTTCATGTTTGCCTAAAAATTACTACTACAGTGTCTACCTAGCTAATGAAAATATTCCTTTTTTACTTCCTTCAGTTTTTTGGACCATATACAAACAACACTCTTTTTGAAACAGATGAACGCTACCGACATCTAGGATTCTCTGTTGATGATCTTGGATGCTGTAAAGTGATTCGTCATAGTCTCTGGGGTACCCATGTGTTTGTAGGAAGCATCTTCACTAATGCAACACCAGACAGCCATATTATGAAGAAATTAAGTGGAAACTAGCAGTAATGTCAATTTATTTGCTGTACTATTTGTAACATTTGGGTTGATCTATAAACACTGTCAAAGACTTCAATTTTAAAAAAATACTTATTTCTAAGTATTTATTTCAACATTTATCAATTTACAACATTCTCAAATGATTTGTGATTTTTAAATTGCAAATGCTCATTATTTCTAATATCTTCGAATACATGTTGAGTACATCCACATCATACAGAATGTGGTAATTAGCATGTAACCAGGGTATGATCTCTTATTCTTTCTCCCCTTTATTGGAAAAAAACCTCAGTTTTAATTGTTTTTCTCCAAAAATAAATACCACATTTGGTTACGATAACATGTGTTTTTCATTACAGTGTTTTTAAAAATATATTAATAGTTCTTAAAGACTCTTAAGAAACTACAGTATTAATCTTTTAAAGTTTTTAATGCAATTGAAAATTCTAGATTCATTGTAGATTTTACTTTTTCTAATTTTCGTTTTTCTTTATTATCTCTTAAGTGTTCTGGTACCAGTGTGAGTATTATTTTAAAATGATACATGTGTAGGAAAAGAAGAATAAGGGTAATACTTTTATATAAAAAGCATATGAATCTCAAACATACTAAAAAAGTAATTCTTTTTTAACTTCTGAGTTGAGACAGATGTAGTTTATTTTTTCAGATAAACTATGCTTCAGCTGCAAAATTGTATTTCTTCAATTTTAGCAGTAGATGGAAACTACAGTATTTCACAGAGGTGCCTCATTTGTGACAGAGCTTGTTTTTACAGCATTATAAACTTTAAAAGAATCATCTTTCATTTGTGAGGCTTTTGCCAATAGGAATAGATCTAAGGAAAAAAAGTAATTTCTACAAAATAAATTAATTAAAATAGACTTTTTTACTATATTTTTAAATAAAATGCCATTTTTAAAAGGAATATGTGGATGTGACCAACTTTTAAATCACAACTTGATTTAAAACTCATTGCTTAGTCAACATGTCACTTGATAATAGGTGTTGCTTATGATCCAAAGAGAGCTACAAGGTTTTCATTCATTATGAAATGATGTAATGATTCCCATCGCATTTAGAAAAAAATGTATTGAAGTGTGTGTGTGTGTGTATATGCATGTGTTACATGTGCTTGATAAATTTTTATCTGTGTAACCAGCACCCACATCAAAACACAGAACACCTCAAAGGCTCATCTTGCTCCTGTCCAGGGAGCCCCTCTGCCCCTCTCTTCCCCTTCTGAGGGTAAACACTATCCAAATTTCCTATAGCATAAATCGGTTTTGCCTGTTTTGATTTTTATATATATACATATATATATATAACTATATGTTTAGTGTCTGGCATCTTTTACTGAATGTTGTGAGATTAACCCTTGTTATGTGCATAATTGTAGATACTCCATTTGCATGGATTTTTTTTCTTCTCAGTGGTCTTGATTAGGACAGTTTTGCCCCTCAGGGCAAGTTTGTCAATGTCTGAAGACATTTTTGATTGTCACAGTTTGGGGGGATGGAGGGTTTTGCCATAGTATTTAGTAGGTAGAGGACAAGGATAGTGCCAAATATCTTACAATGCAAAGGGTAGCTCTCCACAACAAAGAATTATTTGGTTGATTGCCATGCACCACTCTTTTCATTATTTCTGATGTGTGTATTGCTTATTCAGGCATTTCCTACCTTGCACCATTCTTTAAACCAAGTTGCCTTGAAATTTCAACATTTGTTTTAACTATTATGAAGTACCACTTGCTGCTTGAAAATGATACTTATTCCTCATAGTTGGCTATGGTATGTCCTGTATTATTGGAGGACAGGGGACATGGTGGTTGTACTTTTTTTTATCATTTTGCTTTTTGACAGGATTTCCAAAAACAGCATGATAAGCAGTAACTACCAATTAAAAATTTTTTTTCTAAAGTTACAGCAAGGTTTTAGAGCTGTAACTCAAGGGACTCTTACTGATTGATAACATTAGAAAGTGGTTGACTATTATATACTGCAATTAAAAAACTCAGGTATTAGTTTCATCATGTTGATGTCATCAGCACCCTGTGGACAAGAAAGAATTTGTAACATTATCTTAAATATAAATTTGCTACCTTTGAAAATAAGACTGAACCATTGAAATTGATACTAGACCTGTCACTGAAAAAAGTTTTTGTCAGGAAATTATGTTTCGACAAGAACTTGGGAATTTTCATTCTTGGTTGCTAGTTACATAGCAGAAAATTTATCCAAGCACATAGAAATTAAATGGTAAAAGAGAGGACCTTTCAACCTGATCCACCTTCCTCATTTTATAGTAGGCAAAATGGGAAACGAGCATGCATCAAGTCACACAGCAAGTGTTAAGACCAAGTGCTGGAACTTAGCTGTGATCACATTATTTATGTGTGTTTATTTTCTATGTTTGCACTGCATAATAGACAATAGACTTATCAAGAAGTGTTATATGTTAATAGACTTCTTGATAAGTCTCTTAAGTGTGTGATGAAAAATACCAGAGTTGCAGAAGTTAAGCAGAAAGAATTTAGGATTAACTGGCACATTTCATAGATACAGAAACTAGGATTTCATTTCTTTGAACTCTCCGTGCTGTGAATTTCTCTGAAAATTTACTGAAACGTGTATCTAAAAGTTCAATTATAGAATGCTGCACTTCAAACAATAGTTCTCTGGCTTTAAGTTTAAAACCTTCATGTTTTTCTTGGGCTTCTGTTACTTGTAACATCAACATAATCCTTATATTTGAAAAAAAAAATCTGTTTTTAGTCCCAGCTCTATTTTCTCTCCTCTGACTCTTGTCAAAGCAGAGTTTCCCTCTGCAGTGTTGGCATTTTGAACCAGATGATTCTTTCTTGTGTGGGCTTTCCTATCCATTGTAGGATGTTTAACAGCATTCCCTGGCCTCCACCCACCAGCAGCAGCCCATGGTCATGACAAAAATGTATATAGCCATTGCTACACTCTCTATGGGGACGAAATATTTGCTTATCTGAAGTCAAATTTAACTGGGTGTTCTGTATTTTATCTGACAACCCTATCCCTAGCTGAGAACTACTGATTCAAGGCACCTTCTGACTTAGTGGTCGACAGCTTCAGCTGTACATGTGGATTACCTGAGAGGGCATTTAATACTGATGATTTGGGCTCACATCCACAGATTGATTTCATTAGTCCAGTGGGGTTTGGGCATCAGTATTTTTTAAAAGCACCCAAGGTGCTTCAGGTGTGCAGTCAGAACCATTGGTCTCTTCTAAAATTCAGTAATAGTGGGTTAAAAAGGCATCTAAGAAATAAGAGCAGGATATGATAATGGATTTAATGTCATAAAAAACAAAAAGGAAGGAAGGCTCTAATGTTTTCCATTAACAGTGACCTAATCAAGCCCAATTACAAGGATTTGAGTCTCATTTCCTCCATGAAACCTTTCCTGACTACCTCACCTCTCATGCTTTTTTCTGCCTTCCATACTTCCTGGGAGGTAGGAACCCAATTTCTTACTAAACTTAAACAGTACTAAACACACAGTAATAACCTTTTTTTTCATCTTCTTCATTACTAAGGATATTTTAAACTTTTTCATAGGTTTTTCTTTGCCCTCTTCTCTTTGTGTCAATAAAATTCATGTAACCTGTAACTTAATTATCCAGAAGATTTAAATTAGGCTTTGAGCATTTGACTTCCGATCATTACGGGAAGTTATAATCACTTAAAACCATGTCACTACTATAAAAAGCACATAAGTGGTCACTTGATTTATGACAAAGATGACACTGCAGTGCAGTGAGAAAGGAATGAACTTTTCAATATACATTGTTGGGTCAATTGGATATTCATCTAGGAAAAGAATGTCTTTTTACTTTTAGACTATACATAAAAATTACTTCAAATGATTTCAAGTCTAAATGTGAAAGGTTAAATAATAAAGCTTTTAGGAAAAAACGATCTTCCTGACCTCAGAGTAGAAGATTTTTTTAAAGCAGAACACAGTATAATCATACAAGGGGAAAATTTTAATTAGATCATATTAAAACTAAGAACTTTTTAATTCATCAAAAGACGTGAATAAGAAGGCAGCTAACAGAGTTAAAGATACAACAATCCAAAGATACACATATTGGCATAGATGTAGAACGACTTAATGCTTTTGTTGATGTGAATGTAAAATTGTATTAACACTTTGAAAAAGTGGCAGTTCTGAGGCTTATGATACCCTAGGATCTAGCAATTCCACTCTTGAGGTATAACCCAACAGAAATGCTTACATATGTTCACCAAAAGACATGAACTCCCGTAAATCAATACTAACACTAAGTAAAGGTAGGAAGCTACTCAAATGCTAGGGTAGCTTCATCAACACTAGAATGAATATCTCAATAGTGGCATATTCACATGATGGGATGCTATATAGTAATGAAAGCAAATGCATCATGACTACTTGCAACAAAATGGATAAAAGTAATAAACATAATGTACCAAGGAAGCCAGACACAGAGTATGTGCTATATAATTCCATTAATATGAAGTACAAAAACAAAACTATGCTGTTAGAAGTCAGGATGGTGCTTACCCTTGGAAGGGGAAAGGTAGCAACTGAAAGGAAAGACAAAGGGGATTCTGGAATATCGTTCTTTTTTATGAATCTAGGTGTTGACTGCATGAGTAATTTAGTTGTGCAAAATTATGTGCACTTTTTTTAGTGTGTATAGTATACTTTAATAAAAAGTTTGCAGAAATAAAACCAAATCCACTCTTAAAATAGAGAACATTCTTTTTTAATATTTAGGTATTTTGATTATACATTAGTGCTTACATTAAACAAAACAAGTTTCTGTACATGTTTTACATTTTTATAACATGATCAATTTTGCCAAGAGCTTTAAGAATTTTTCCAAGAACCTCACAATCCTTGGACAGTTAAATTATTCTCTTTTAGGTTCCTAACACTGAGTCCTCCTTGTAGATTTTCTCTAATTATTGATCTAACAGTTTATTATTTCAATTATCTCATGAAATGTTGCATTTGGGGCACATTCGTGATTTTACTTCAGTCTATTTATATGAAATGGCATAGTCATTAACTTTGCCTACTCAAAGTGAAAACAGGCTAAACAAAGTTGCTAACCTATATTCTTTGATCTCATTGTTCTGTATAAAAATTGAGGCTCTAATTGCCTTAATTTGTGTATATAGGATTTTATTTAAGTTACAACTTCTTACACACTCTAGTAGAAAGATTGGGTATGATTAAATTACCATTTTATTTAAAATGAGTGGCAATTTAATGATATAAAAATAGACATTAAACTTTTTAAACACTGGTTTGTATTCATAG